TACTTTCCTGTTGTGAGCCATTTGTTCTTTTGCTTTCTCTTTAATGGTGCCATGCTCTTTGCTTTCCTTCCCCTTTCTAGTTTTACCTTCATCTGCTTTCAGTCGTCCTTATTTCCCTTCCTTCTTTGATGGAGGAACTTCCTTTTGTGGTGTGGCTGCTTCTGTAGGTGCTTGTTCTTTCTCCTCCTCCACGTTGCAGTCCTCATCTGTACTTTCCACTTCATTCTCAAGCACATCAAACCGCGAGCCAGAGTTCAGTGTTGTTTCCCTAGCTTTTGTGTCGTTGTTAACCTCAGCAATGGTGTGAATCTTTTTTTGGTTCCTTGGCCTTCTTGATCTAGTTTCAAGCATCCAAGGACCAAAGTCTTCAACGACCTCTGGCCTAATCTGCTGTGATGGCTCGTTCGTGCTTCATGCCACCATTCTCTGCTCGATTGAGGGGTTCTCCGAGGCTTCCTTAATGTGGCAATTCTCCTCCAAATGTCCATAATGTCCGCAACTGAAACATATAGTGTGGAGTCCTTCATATTCCACTCTCCGAACCCTTCTCTTAAGTCGGTATTTCGAAACTAATCTCTTTCTGAGATCAATTTCCACGCAGATGCGTGCAAAGTTGCTCCTGAAACCGTTGGTGGTGTTGTAGTCAATCTTCTGTACTTTCCCCAGTTTGTTGCCTATGTCCGTGAGGATTTCTTCATCGAAATACGCCAGTGGTAATCGTAGGAGTCTATCCCAGGCAGAGATGTGGTTGATCGAGTCGTAATCAGGATCGAAATCCAGTCGCCATGGCTCTGTCACCACATAATGATCTTCAATGGTCCACGGTCCGCCGTAGAGAGCTCGATCATGGTCTATTTGAGATTCGAAGGTGGCCTGGCAATACCCATTTCCGATGTCTCCAACTCTCACTGCTCCAGTTTTAGCCCACATTCGTTGGATTCGTCGGTGAACAAAGGCAAAGGGAAAATGTTTCCCCAGCACCCTGAAAGTAATAGCTCTGTTCCATCTACTCTGGATTCGCGCATTTGTTCTCTTCTTAATCCGGATCGTCGGGCAGTCCGGGTCATCTTCACCGTTCTCATCGTCGGATTCATCAGACATAAGCTCATTACCTTCAAAGGGGATGGCCGGAGAAGAGTTGCCGAGAACCGAAGCCTTGTACGAGATGAAGGCATCACCTGATCGGTTTGTTGTCCTCTCACCATCTTCCTGTTCAGCGCTTCTCTGCTTTCCTTCCTCACTTGGCTGGATCGCACTAGGGGGCCCTGTACTTTGGTTCAGATCCATTTCTGCATCCTCCCCATTGAGGTCTTCCAGTGGAAAGGCGGTGGCCACAACACAGTCCATACTCCCTTCCCCCGAGAAACCATCGCAGGAGAGGGCTTTCGCCTTCTTGCTGGGTTGGATCGGGGGCGACGCCGGCGACGAATCCGGCGGCTTAGGGTCTGAAACGGTCGCCCGGCCAGGAGGCTTCATTCAAACCCCGCAAAAAGACACTTCAACGGCTAGAAGAAAAAACCCAAAAGCAGGAGAGAGGAGAGAGCGTTCCTCTCTCTAGTTCCTCTCTCTGGACCTAAAGAAATACTTTAAGAAAAAGTAGTTGAGTGTTTAGTTGAAAATCTAGTAAAATGTGGTTTTAATATAAGAGGACATGTAAAATTACTAAAAATAATTTTTAATATAAATATAAATAAAAATTCTAAAAATAAAAAGTAGTCAAAATGAACATTTTTTCTAATTTATCTTATTTTTAAAATAATAAAAATGAAACAGAAATTATATTTTCTGAAATAAAATTTAAATATGCTAAGAATAATCTTGGATTTTAAAAACAGTTTTTTTTCGTAGAAGCTCCAAATCAGAGCTTCTTCTTTTATGTTATAGAGAATGGACTTTTCAGCTTTTCAAAAGCTGAGCTTTTAGATAGAGGTGTCAATCGGGCGGGTTCGGGCTGGTTGCGGGTTTGGGTTGATCGGGTTGCGAGTTACGGGTCACTTGGGTTGCGGGTAGGGCGGTTCGGGTTGCGGGTTTTACGGACCAGCACATCGCGTTACTTTTTAGTGATTGCTAGTAAGTCGTAAATCGTAACTACATGAAGCTAGCACAATACTTGTAAAAAAAAGGAATCACTACTAAAAGTCAAAGACTCAAAGGTGGGGGGAAACAAAATTTTGGGGAAACATTACAGGGGAGAATTATTGGCGGGTCTCGACGGATGGGGGAATCAAATTTTGTTTATGAGAATTTTTTTTATGGGAAATGGGGAATCAAATTTTTGGGCAGTAGTATTGAGGGAACCCAAAATTTGGAGAGAAAAGTTTAAAAATAGTTTTTTGATTTTTTTAAAAACAAGTGAAATTGTTCATATAAATGTATAGAGAAATTGTTGGTTTAGCTAGTTAGTTGTTTATATGATTTTTATATTAAACTAAATTATAAAATTTAGAAAAATTGTTATGAGTTCAATTGTAACTTTACTCGATAATATATAATCTAAACTCTAAATAGTCTATACCCTGAACCCCAAATGATTTTATGTGCACTATTAGGTTGATGATGTATCTAAATCAATATTTGATGATATTATATGCGTTAATAGGTTGATGATGTATATTATTATACTAAGTTAATAATTGATGATGTAATGATCAAACTATAGTGAATTAGGATTTCAAATGTCAACTTTTGGTTTATCTTTATCGAATTCCTTCTATTATAGTCGGGCTACGGGTTGGTCGGGTTACGGGTTGCGGGTTGGTCGAGTTTGCGGGTTAATCGGGTTGCGGGTTGGTCGGGTTGCGGGTCGATCGGGTTGCGGGTCGGGCGGGTTACGGGTCATTGACTTTTAGTCAAATCGGGTTGCGGGTCGGGTTGATCGGGCGGGTTACTCGGGTCGGGTTACATTTTGACAGCTCTACTTTTAGAGGTGTTTGACACTGCTTAACCTTTTGAAGCTAAAAAATACTTCTAAAAGTCGGGCCAAACATAGGCTATAGTGACTTTAAAATCGCATTTTGGGATGAGTTAGGAATTCGGATTGTTAGTGTTTTTTAGTAGCCACCATGGCTTTAAATCTCTATACATTTCATTTTTTTTAAATTAACATTCAAGATTATTCTAAGTATAGTTTTGAAAATGAAAAAATATTTCGATTATTACTCTTTAAAATCGAACGTCTTCCAACCTTTTTTTCTTCCTCTAGACGAGTCCTTCCCTCCTCACTCCCCTTCACCTGTCCTCCCCACCGCTAGGGCTGGAAATTGGGGTGGGTGTGGTTACTCGCCTCACATTTTGCCGGTACCCACACCCACAAATTTACAATTTTACTACCCACACCTCGCACCGCAGTGGTTAGTGGGTAACCACTACCCACTGCGGGTTGGGTGTGGTTACCCACAAAACTTCATCTTTGCAAGTATGGAGTTGAGCCCGCCACTAACGTATTTGTTGTTCGTAGCTAGACTATAATGATATATAATTGTGTTGCATGGAGATACAATTTTGTATATTTTTTTCTCTCGATGAATGAGTGAGATTTTATTCATCAAATATGATCAGCAACCAAGTCACGGACTTACAACAACAGGTTGACTGCTAACAAACAAGTATAAGGACTAATAGACACTGCCATCTACCTCACTACAAAAACCTATTAGTTACAAGACTTATAGCACAACATAGAGCTGGAAACTGACTCTGGGATTTTGGGATCTCCAGCCTCCTTTGCTTCCTTCACCCTCTGCATTTTCCTTGTGATTTCAATAACAGACATCTGCTTGCCACCATAAAGCCTTCTGCAACGTTCTCTCCATATCTCACTCACCACCAGACACCAAACCATTTTGCCAACCAAGCACTTTTTGAACTTCTGGCATGCTGCTGTTACTGCCTGCTGCAAGGTTCTCGAGATTGGGAAAGACCATGGCTCTGGGAACACATTTTTGTATATTGATTTTACTCAATGTGAAGAGTTTTTCTTTTCGAGTTTGGTATTAAACTTTTGTGTCAGGGAGCTATGATTTCATATTTCACCAATTAGGGGTGGAATATGGCAATTAAATAAGACCATGGCTCTCTCAATTATAGTATTTTATAAACTGAAAAATTCTCACATAAAACCGCTTAGGTGCGTATTTAATTTTGGTGGCTACTTAATTTTTAGCCTCCCACTTTTCACATACTATTATATTATAAAGTTAATATAGTACATAAATATAATCAGTGTGGTTATAGTGGATTTTGTGTGTTAACCGCGATGGGTACTAGATAACCACTAACTACAAAAATCATTATTTTGTTACCTACACGCAATCCACTACCTACAACTTATGGGTATGGACGTATGGTTACCCACAATGGGTGTGTTTGGTGCGATTTGCGAGTTATCCACAACCCGCAACCCAAACTTCCACCCCTACCCACCGCGCCTACCCTCCCTCTCTCTTGCCAACAATTTGTCGCGGGTGCAGCAACTAGGGGTGGCAGTTCGGTTATTTCGATTATAATCGGTTACCGATCGGCCGGTTATCGGTTAACCGAAATAACCACTCCCCCTACCAAAAAGCGTCCAAAATAGGCTTCGGGTTCTCGGTTATCTCGGTTATCGGTTAACCGAATCACTTTTAAGACCAAAATCCAATTCGTCCAGCCTCCGATAACCGACCAAAGTTCGGTTACTTCGGTTACCGGTTAATGGATAACCGGTTAACCGAATTGCCACCCCTAACAGCAACTATGAGAGGAGTCGGCAACTCTCGACCGGATTTCATATTGGTATGTATTTATTATATTGGTATTGATTTTTTCATAGTTGTATTGTTTTTTTCGCATTAGTATTGATTATCGTGTAATGGTATTGTTTTTTTGTATTTATGTTATCGTATTGAAATTAAATTTGGAATGATATTGATTAATAAGTAGTATATGTGTTGATAGTGTTTTGTGTAGGCTGCAATAGTTATGTTTTATGTTTTAGTATTAATTTCTTGTTTTATATTTATAATGATATTTTTTTTTTCACGAAGTGATAGTGTTTTAAATGAATTGATTTCTTGTTTTATTTTTGCAGTCCAGAACAAGATGATACTACCGACATCGAAGTAATAGCGGTCATAAAGTAAAACACCAAGATGATACTACCGATCGACATTGCATTACACATTGCTCTGCCTTTCATCTCTCTTTATTTGTACCACAAAAGCAGAGCATTAAATTTATTTCTTTTCATATCCTTGCAAAGTCCAAGGTACGCTTCCCGTCATGTCCCTTGCTGAAGAAATGAGCAGTGTAATCCGAATACAGGACAGACTTGTAAGCGGCCTTCTTCTCCCCGCCTTCCAAAACCTCCGGCAGAACTTCGATGACCGCATCTCCAGCCGGACCGACGAAAATCGGGACGGAGACCCTGCTCCCGGTCTTGTTGGGAAACGCACGGTGCTCCACGCTTTTGTAAACGCCATTGCTCATTATCTGCATCGCATCCCCGACGTTCACCACGATAGCTCCTTCCACCGGCGGGACGGGAATCCAGAACCCACCTTCCCCTTCTTCTTCCTCTTCCTCTTCCTCTTCTTCTTTGATTTCGCGGACGTAGAGCCCTCCGGTATCGTCCTGAAGCAGCATCGTGATGGTCGAAATGTCCGAATGACGGCCGACCCCGGCGGCTAGCTCGGGGTTTGGGCACTTCGGATAGTAATTCAGGGCAACCCTCGGCGAACCGCTCAGACAACGCTGTATCTCTGTGTTCACATCTTTCACATTGAGCTTCTTGAGCAGCACCTCAGCCAGCTTCTTGATTACTGGCTCGGCGCTTTTCACGTAGTCAAGCACTTGATCCCTGGTGCAATAATTAACCAGAAATCAATCAATATATTACTTACAAAAAAATAAAAAAATAATGATGTCAGCACTGCTTGTGCTGAATCTGCTGGTTCGTCGTCGTCCTGATTCATTACTTCATTGACCAGTGAGTGCAAATTGCTATAAACCTCTCTCATAATACTTTAATGAATTTTTTTTACGGTACATATGAGTTATATTTTGCTGATTCTTTCACAACGATACATTTACAGTTTTTTTTTATCTTCCATTACCTGCAAACAAGAGGCCAGAACTCGGAACCAACAGGTTCGTCGTCCTCACCATCCCCTTTGAGATATTGAAAGATCAAGAAATCCTTCCACTCCAGCACCTGCTCCGCCTGAGGGCTGAAGCTGGTGCTGTAGAAAACGGTGTCGGAAAGGGAGCTCCCTTTCCAGTACTTGCGCCGCTCCTCGTTGCTCTGCGCGTAGAACGCATGAGCCGCGTCCACCACCCTGCTCAGAACTTGGGAGGGAATCCCGTGGTTGACGATCTGGAAGAAACCCCACTTGCTGGCGGCCTCGGAGATCGAATCTAGGACACTTGGGTCGTCCCAGTTCGAGACGTCGATGATGGGTATCGAAGCTGATGTGGCGATCTTGATCGATTCGAGCCTCTCTGCCGGCGGCTGGATGTACTGCGGTGGGAGGGTGGTGGCGAGGCCTGAATCTACCAGCCCTTTCAAGCCGTTGGCTTTGTGAACCACGAAGTCAGTGACTTCGGAGGTGGCGGCTACAGCAGTGGATGGAGACATTGCCAAGCAGTTGAAGCTTCACAAGTTTTTTTCTTTTCTTTTTTCTTTATCTCCTTGAATGTAAGATTCAAGAGAATCAATGTTTTGCTATATGTGGAAGAGATTACTAAAAGCCAATTTATATGCTTCTTTTTGGGCGAACAGTAGTAACGTGGTAGGTTTGGTAATTGGTAATGGTGGTAGTTACGTGTTATAATAAAGGCTGTGGCCATCCTTGTTTTGGCTCCGTGCATGCTTGTCTTTGAGTGAATGACGGATGACAATAAACTGAGCAAACTCAACTAACTCCGGCCATTTCTAGTAGGGTATTGCCGCCGGCTTCACCTTTTACCGTGACCGGCAACAACCCTTTTCCGCCGGCAACAAGCCAACAACCCATTTCCCTCATAGCCGAATTGGCTTTTCTTTTTTATTGTCTGTAAGACTGTAACGGTAAGTATTGTCTATATTGTATTTTATTAAGTGTACATTTTTTACGCAAGGAATGAACTAGTTGAGATACTGCCTCAACCTTGGGAATCCTTTGTTGTCTCCAAAGATAGAATATTAGGGATCATTGGTATAAAGCTTTAGCGAACGATTTGTTTGTCTCCAATTTGACACTTATGGAGAATATATATCGACCCTGTAAAAAGAAAATGGGACAATATATTATCTTCAAATAGTCATAATATTCTGATGAAATGAATCATAGGGGACACTATCTTTTCCCTAGCTAATTATAATGTTTAGGGCACGATTTATTGTCACCAAATCCAAGTCTATGGGAACGACATATTTTATTTTATGAAAAAGAAATTCAAGATTACTAGTGAGTATCAGGGACGACTATTGTCTCTAACATTGGGGACGACCTAAAGTTTTGTCGTCTCCAACAGAATAAAGAACAAGCGTATAATGCACCACATGTCAAGAACCGCGCACTCGTCTCTAAAAACTATGTGAACGATTTTTCTAATTTCCGTGAACGAATTTCAACTCCCCAAACCTTTTTTTTAGTGCGTGGATTTTCAATTTCCATTTTTGTTCAATGTGGTCTTTAGGTTTTGTGCTTAGATCCCGAGGTCGGTCTCTGTGTAGAGTAAGGTTCTGATTATGAAGGACAAGTCTTTGTCCGTTGATACTTAGCTAATCGTATGTATTTAGGACTTGTATTCCTTATTACTTGTGTACTTATATCTCCTTATCATACTTGTATACTGTACACGTCTGGGTATAAATATACCCTTGCATTAATGAACAGAAGCACAATTGCAATTCCTTACATGGTATCAGAGCTGGAGGTTCCCAACCCTAGCTAATTTTTTTTTTTTCCCGTCACAATGAGCGACGAGTCCAGCACCACCTCTGCTGCGCCGACTGCTGCCGATCTGCCTCAGCTGGTCACGTTCAACCCCGCTGCTTCTCTCCCTCTCAAGCTCACCGCGACGAACTTCCCCTCCTGGCGTGCGCAGCTGTTTTCTTTGCTCCATGGTCTTGATCTCGTTGGCTACTTGGATGGTTCTTTGTCTGCTCCGGCTGTCTCTGTCTTTGTCAACAACGCCGAGCAACGAAACCCTGCTTATACCCATTGGTTTCGTCAGGATAAACTCCTGCTTAATGGCATCTTTGCCTCTGTCTCTGCTGACATATGTCCCTTTATTGCTTCTGCTGAAACTTCCCATGCTGCTTGGTCTACTCTTCAGAAGTTGTATGCTGGCTCCTCTTATTCTCGTGTAATGACGCTTCGTGATCGACTTCTCAGCGAAAAGAAAGGCGACCGAGACGTGGCTACCTACATTCAAGCCCTTCGTTCTCGTGCGTCCGAGATTGCTCTTGCTGGCGATATTGTTCGTGATGAAGAACTTGTGACTATCTGTTTGCGTGGACTTGGTCCTGAATATGCTGAGTTTTTGGCGGGCATCCGGGCTCGTGATATTCCTCCCAAGCTTGAGGATTTGGTTGATCGTCTTCAAACTCTAGAGGCTGACCTGCGGGTCACTCGTCCATCGCCCGAGCATCCTGCCACTGCCTATACCACTCAACGTGGCCGCGGTCGTGGTCGTCGCGGCGGCTCGGCTGGCCGTGGTTCTGGCCGCGGTCTGCTTCCTTCTCCCGGGCAGCCTCCGTCCTCCACCATTGGCTCGTCTTCCTCATGGGAGTCCTTTTCCCCTCGTAGTGATGATGATTCCTCTCGTGATCGTCAGCGCATCTATTGTCAGTTCTGCGATAAGCCTGGGCATAATGCTAAGAATTGTTTTCAACTATTTCCTCACAAGCGCCCACCGCAGGCAAATTATACTCAACATCCTCCTTCGTCTGCTCCGTCATCCTCTCATAGCTCGTGGCTCATGGACTCTGCTGCCACTCATCATGTGACCAACCAGCTTGGCAATCTGTCTCTGTACTCCGACTACACTGATGTGATTCTATTGTTATGGTGTGCGGTGGTGGTTTCCAATTGAAGGTGGAGGTTCCGATTGGCGGTGACATGGGGGTGTAGTTTTTGCTGTCGGATGGGTGTTTGGTGATGTCTATAGTAGCATTTATTTTTATGAGTTTGAAGTTTGCACATATCTGACATACAATATAATGTGATTGAAAATTATGGTTAATATTTTTAGATCGTGAGGATTTGAACACCTGATCTCAATGACAAATCAGCTCTAATCTCATGTCATTATAAACCCAGGGACATTGCCAACAACTTGAAGCTGCCACTCATCTGACATACAATATAATGTGATTGAAAATTATGGTTAATATTTTTAGATCGTGAGGATTTGAACACCTGATCTCAATGACAAATCAGCTCTAATCTCATGTCATTATAAACCCAGGGACATTGCCAACAACTTGAAGCTTCTCGCTCTAGGGTTTTGACCGATCAGAAGTAGGTGTGGTAGGTTTGGTACGGGTAGTAGTTGCTTGTTATAAAGGCTACTACGTCCTTCTGTTGATTCCATGCATGCTGGTAGTTGATAACAACTAACTCCGGCCATTTCCAATAATAGGGGAGCCGCCGGGCCGGCTTTACCTTTTGGTCCCATTTTCCGAGAAAGTTTCTTCTCTACACTTCAGATATATTCTTAGATTTTGAAGCTTACGTTTTTTTTCTTTTTCCATATCATCAAAATGCTTTTACGTAGAATAGTGATTTTGACTGTATTGATCTCACTGTACGAAGGAGATTGTGTCATTATAGATTTGTATCCTCCTTTCCCGACGTTCTGAGCTTTCCTCCTGCTTTACTCGAGCGAGGCAGTAATTCGATGAATTTGACTTTTCCCTCCTTTTTTGGTTAATGGTGATGTAGTATTATTAGTAGAATGAAATGGAAGTGAAAGGGGGATTACGACTTGCGCCTGCTCACAAAAATAACATCATAATTAAAGAGCAAAAGGAGCAGGTGAAGCAGGAAAATGAAACTCCCTACAAGACCAAACGGCAAGATGCCAGCTGCAAAGAGAACTTACGTCCGTCCTTTCCTTAGTAAATTATATATGATCCACAATTAAATTTCTTCTAACAATTCGAATTATCAGGACCAACTGATTCTTAACACTTCTCTCCAAGTTAAGTATTTTGCAGCATCTCGCAACATCTTCATCTCATCGATTACAGACTCTCCTATTCAACCCATATGTTCCAGCAAAAGGCATGAAGAGCCACCTTGGTGCACCACTGATTCGGATCTGTAGGAGTAACACTTGGCCACTAGAGAGAATGGGTGCGGGTGGGATAATTGTAGGGTATTTTTCTCCAACTGGGGTTATGATTGAGGATGATAATAAGTCGTGTTTCTCTAAATCAAAATCCAACCTAGAGGATGCACCCATTAAAAACATCCCTGTAAATAATCCATTTTATTTAGAAGTAAAAATCCAATCCAATGAGTATCTCGAGTTCACAAATATAACTATATATTATATTTTCGAACACCCATATTATGAAATTCAATCAGAAGTCCAAAAGGAAAATATTGAAAGCCAGTTTTTTTTTTTTGACGAAACCTAATTTCATTACGAAATAGGAGATGTGATATAGCGTTTCGATGCTCGGTATGTTCTATCTTTCTGGTCGAGCAGTGAGAAGCGTGGAGGGTTGGTTACAGTTGCGGTGTTAATTGCCTTTGTACTACTGTATGTTTTCTTTTGGTTCTGTATGAAATATGCTTTGCTTGTCTTTTATTGATGTATGCAGTTTGTAATTTCCCCTTTTGGCGAGTGGGAAGTAATGACGTCTTGTTTTTTCCTCTTCCCTTTTTCTGGCTAGAAAAATGATGACGATGGTTATTACTTATTAGTACAGTTGGGCCCTAGCTTGATGAAGGGCTGAATTCAATTTATGGTTCCATATATTATCACTCTAAAATTGACCGTGATGGTTTGGAGTTAGAGATTTACGGTATGAGGTATTGAGGTTCGTCTTTTTGGAGGTTATGATATAGTAGTAGTATACTCAAAATTGAATCACTTGAGACATGAATATTGAATGTCAAAATCTCATTTATGTTCGGGGAATTCAATTTGTGTTCTAAAATGAACAAGAAAATCTTAATGCATGGATTAGCTCCAACAATGACTGAAGAAGAGGGAGACGTGGACTTACCTTTGTTTCAAAAATTGTCTGGTAGTATCAGTGGTGGGGCTTCCGCGGCGGAGATGGGTTGATGAAGATGTGGACAGCGGGTCTGGTTGGTGAGGGATGGTAGGGTTTTAAAGGGGAGGTTCGATTAGAGAGGTGAAATTAGGTGGGTTCACAACCGGCTTTTCTGTATAGGCCTAAAGCACCATTTGGGCTGGGCCTAAATGTATTTGCTTCTCATAAGAATGTAGAAAGGGATGTTACTTTGCGAAGTAGAGAAGGCCCAAAGACACTTAGATCATAGGAATCTAGGCTTACGGAACAGGCCCAAGACATCAATGATCTAATGGTATTGAGCATCTTCTTTGTTTGAAACACGAAGCACAAAATATTTTTTAAACTGTACTGAAGATGATCAACTGTATTTAATAGCAAAAGCAACGCTACATAACACGTGCGAACTGGGAACTGACGCTTCTTGAGGATAAACGACCACTTAGAGTTCTCTACGTTGAGAACAATTCTTGGAATTATGACCTCGTCAGTGTCATAAGAACCTCCCATGATGTT